TTTAATTAAATTAAAAATCGTAGTTTTTTAGAATTTTTAACACGCGCAGCGAGGAAACAAAATTAAACCATCATATCCCAGAGAAATGAGTGTGTGTACATTATTGGAACGAGTACTTACTCGTTTCACACGATCTGGTGAACTACCGTCAGCCAAAGTAACAATACGCTACAAGAAATCAGATAACTTTTTGTTTTTTTGTGCCTCGAAAAGTAGTCCTAAAAGATGTTTTAATCACTCTCGCCGGAAACGTAAAAATTCCTTAATGAAGAGGAAAAATCTCTGCGTCACTTACCGATTGATTTCCACCAACCGATCTCAAGTCATTGTTGTTATTCAGAACGATAACACCACTACTCGAAGATGACTGTTGAGTGTCACCATTTGTATTCTAGAAAGAAAAAATAATACGACAAGTTTGACTTCAGCTCTTCGCGTTTTAATATACCTGAGATGCTTGTAACATACTCTGACCATTCCCGTTATCCATTCACAGCTACAAGCAGAAAAAAAAAGCATAAGATCAATCTGGAATCAAGCTGAAAAAAGATCTTCCTCGCGAGTTACATTACAGACGTACGACGAACGTCCTAGTATTCCAGAAACATTTTATAAATCATTATGTAGAAAAAATGATGTCCAAAATAAACTGTAAGAGCAACAATATTCAAAACTGACAGGAATAATTGCTTTAAAAAGTGAATAGTTTCCATTTTTATTACCCCAAAATACGCTTTAATTGGTTCCATGCAGTGGTGTCTATCCACACCGAAGCATTTGAGGCCTTTTGTATCACCTCAGAGGTTCGAGTCTTCAATGTACCACGTGCAAAATGAATTTTTACAGTAAAATAGCGTTCCACTTACTTTTGTTTGAGGCATTGTACCTCAAACGCCTCAGGTTCCATGAAGTAGCGAAGCACCATCAGCAATGTTCAGGCAGGCAAGAACGCAGAAGTATCAATAACTTAATATGGAGCATAGAACAAAAGACTAGTCTAACTTAATCATTTCCACTGACTCAGTTTCAAGCGGCTGGTATGTCCGACAACAAAACCTAACTGCCCTCCTATGTCGCCCACAACTTTTACAGATACGACAATGCAGACATCTATCGTTGAAATATCCGTTACTGGTAGGAGTAATAAGATTAATCCCACCTTATCATTTTTAAAATAGACATGGAAATCTATCACCCATCAAACTTTAAATAAGCTTTGGCTTAAAAAGATGACGACTAGAATACGGATGTTGAAATATTAGAAGAAAAGTTCATAGACGGTTACTTTGTTTGAATACAGTTGGAAACGCCGAGCGCTTTACCAATTGACAAGATAATAATATGAATTGCACAATTATGTTTTGTTTACCTGAACATAATTGCTATTGATTAGTTTTCTTTTTCCGGTCAAAAATAGCCTTTCGGATCAGATCATCATAACTTTTTTCGAGTTAATTTGAACCAATTAACTTAAAAAAGTCCCATGTCATTCTGTTGTGAATTTGTTTGGGTTTTTTCGTATCAGTCTATTGAAATAGTAGTGTGTTTTTCGTTGAGTGCCAAGGAAAAAATAATTATATTAAGATGTATTAATCGCCTATTTGCGTAGGTATAACCGCAAAGCATATATAAAAAAAACTTTTCATCATCTGGTAATAGTAGTAGTTTATACTTTTTGTACTTACATTGGTCAAAATAACGCTCCAACTGCACAGTAGGTATAGGTTTTATTGGCGCAATGTCTCGAAACTTTAATAACGACAACGAATCGAACGCTAAAATGAGTCTAGTAATTGGCCGAACAAACTTTTTCTTTCCTTTCTTGTTCCTCAATGGTTCTCTAGCGGGTTGTATACAATTCTCTTACTTCTCTCGGTATATGAACCATATATATAGCTATATCATTTCTCTTATTTTTTACTTTCCATTTGGACGAGAGAAGAAAGAGAAAGAGTCTCTTCTAGTTGATATTCTCGCCCATTCTGTTTTCAAAACAACACAAAGCGTTTTTTTTTATGTTTCTGAATCACGTGTTTCTATCGAACGAAGAAGTTACAATAGAAGCCCGATATATAGTTTGCGTGTAGAAAATTTTTGTGTAATTGTATATTTTTGATTCTTTTCTTTCTGTTCTGACTAGAAGTTTGAGTATTCTATATATGAAGAACACATTGTACACACGAATAGAAAAGTGTATGTGAAGTGACCTGAGCTGTCGCTGTTTTGTCAAAGAGAATGAGTAAAAGTCGTTTGGGTGTTCTCGACTTACATTATTATTTTACTGTGTACTAGACGATGTATTTTTTTACCACTAGAAAACGCTATCCGTTGTTATTTTGCGAACATCTATCTTCCAGTGTTTCCATCAAATTTAGAGGAACACATTAGTGTTCATAGCGACATCTATCAATAAAAGCAATAGTTCCAAAAACATCTTTGCATACGAGAAGCTAACCGTTTATTGGAAATGTTTTAATTATGGGTTAGTATCTTACAACAGTTTTCACGAACTATCACGGCTAAATATATTCTTATCAAATGGTAGCAGAACTCTAATATACAAGTAGCGTTCATCATGCTGATTCACTTATACCTTGACTGGAAAGGAATCGCCAATATTAAAAATACGCGTTTTCCCTCTGCTGAATGTGATGAAAGTCGAATAGACCGTTTTTGTGTTGGTCATGGTCAGTAATGATGTTTTGTTGCTCGACAGGTTGCTAGTCTAAAGCGTTGATGTTTAACTTATTCCGTTGACGTTAGTCAGGGCTATATAAATATATAGATAAAATGTTTGTATGTCCACGCGAAGAAATCAAAAG